TAGCCAGATGAAATATTTCGAATTCTTGTTATTTTTTAGTGTAAGTAGTGTAATTAAGTTTTAATCAGACATAATTTTTCTTGAATTATTATAATTTCTCAGTAGTACAAGATAATTTCAGTCGGACAAAATTTTTTCCTGATTTTGTAGATAAAAGGCTTTTCTTATTTAGATAAAAATGTCAGTACACAAAAAAAAAATCGTAAACTGAAATTAAGAATATATTCTTGGCGCCTATTTAAGAATATTTAATCCTTAAATTTAGTATATATTCTTATTTTGAGAATAATATATACTGAAATGAAGTATAAAATATTCTTAAATAGGCGCCAAGAATTTATTTTTAATTTCAGTTTAAGGCTTTTTTTGTGTTTGTATTCTTATATTAAGAATAATATACACCTTAAAAAAAGTAATTTCATTCTAGAGGATTCCTCTAATTGTAATGCATATTTTCCTCTTAATTTTGGTATCAAAAGTAATAATCTTAATTTAGATGAATTTTCCTCTCGAAAAAATCCTCTTAAAGGAAGAATAATATTCTAATATTTTGACAAGTTGAAAATAACCGTAATACTTTTTTTTGGGTGTACTAAATTTAAGTATAAAATATTCTTAAATTAAGAATATATACTTGAGAATATTTTATACTTAAATTCAGTATGAATTCTTATTTTAAGAATAATATATACTAAATTGAAGTATAAATTATTTTTAAATTAAGTACATATTTTTATTTTAAGAATAATAATTTATACTGAATTTAAGTATAAAATATTCTGAAATATAGGCCAAGAATATATTCCTAATTTCAGCTTACAGGTCTTTCTGTGTCCTGAATGTCGTAGAAGTAGTAAAAGACAGTTTATAGTCAGACCAAAATTCTAATTCGATATTATTTTACACGGTTGAACAGCCACAATGAAAAACAAAGATTCCAACTGTATGATTAAAAAAAAATCATATAAAAATGTAAAATAAAAATTTGAGTTTAGCAATTTATTTTTAAAAATATTATAAAATAATGTAAATATTCTCAAGGGGATTACACATTTAAAATTAAAAATAATGAATAAATCCTATCAAAATATGAATTTTTCAAAAAAAAAAAAATTAACATATTCATTGAATTTTTCGCTTCGTTGATTCAATTGAACGTGTCCCCTCAATATGAAATTGTCTTTTGAAAATCAGACATTTTCATGGAAAAGACATTCTCAAAGCTTCAATACTTTGTACTGGAAAAAAAAAATAATAAAAAAGAAAGCCTTTGTTGACTTCAGTGTCCGTATCTGCGTTGGACTCAATAAACAGAAGAATTTTTCGAACGAATCCCAGGAGCTTTAGAGGTACCAGTATAGTAATCGACGTGGTATAGAGGGAAAGTGGGGTGTGCAACTCGGTAAAAACAAAGAGGAAAAATCTGGAGAATTAAAGAAAAAGTGAGAGGGGAAAAATAGCGATCGGAAAAAGAGAGAATGAGAGAGGGGTGGAGGGGGTGAGAGAAAGCGGATATTATAGTAAGCAAAGAAAGAATGAGAGCAAAAAAGAGTAGTTGGGAGGGGGGGGGGCAAATAAAAGGAAATGAAAAAAGATCAGAGGATATCAAAATTTTATTAACTTCTATCGGTGTCTTTTACGGCAATCGAACATTCGAGAGCGAATTATTGAATTTAGTCTCATTTTTTTTTTTCGTTGCTTTATTATATATATTATTCACGCTTTATTTCAAAATTCTTTTTTTTTTTTACTTGGTTCAAGTAAATATTTATTTGATAGTCAAGTAACCGATTATTTCAATTTTTTTTTCATGATTGTTTTATAATGAAGTGATTTCTCTTGATGAAAATGATATCCCCTTATTTCTGTTAGAAAAAATGTTGAGCGCACTTTAAAATATTGAAGAAGGGACAACAGATAATAATAAAAGATGCTTCTAAAGGAAAATTGGTTCCCCATTCTTGTTTCGTGTTTATTATTCTTTCTGGTTTCTTTGAAGTGATGCATTGTTGGCCATTTATTAGCCTGACCGAACAATGGTTTAGAACATGATTTCTCATGCAGCTTCCATCCCCCCCTTTTTTTTCTATATTGGCAAACGACACAATGGCTCGTGGAATAAATTCCATTTTTTTTTTTTTTTTTTTTTTTTTTTTTGCACAGTGTATAAGTCTAGCTGTGGAAATACTCTCTCGGTGGGATTGTAAGCTTTTTGAGGATTGACGGAGCTTTTCAGTGTTTCCATGTTTTAAAAGGTACGACGACGAGTCGCTGAAAACTCGACCACTCGACCCGCTAAGAGCCGCCCCCCCCCCCCACCACCAGCGTCTCTCTCTATGAATCTAACGGCACGTAACAAATGTACGTTAACCTAAAAGGTTTAATGCACCACACGATTGCCGTCCGTTGATGACAATGATCGGGTGCACGAACCTATTGTTTTCAACTTTGGAAAGCACCTTTGTAAAACTCGCTTCGGAATACCGGCAATTTCAAAACTTCAACTTGCCCCCCACAATGCGAAGCGAGATTCCTTTATTCTTCAAGGATCCCGCAGTTGAATCGACATTGAGAAACGACTCTGTGGATATCAGAATTTAAGGATTCAAAGTTTAATTGGAAGTTTAAGTTTTCATTTCCATTCTCTTCCTCTCTTTATTCAGCGTTTCTTATTCCTTTTTAGTTTGTTTTTTTTATTTGTTATTTTAACAGTTTGAGCCCTTAATACATTGTCTCCGTCAACTGGATGAAATCATTTTTAAATACAAACAAATAATGTTTAATTTAAAAAAATTAAATTTTTGATAAATACACTTTTCGATTTATTTAAATTCTTATCAGGGGGGTCGATTACGTAAATTCATTTCCACTTCCACTTTTTCCAATTAACAATCTCATTTTCATTTCCACTTTTTCTAATTTCTACTTACATTTTCATTTCCACTTCCATTTTCACTTTTTCTAATTTCTACTTCCATTTTCATTTCCACTTCCATTTCCACTTTTTCTAATTTCTACTTCCATTTTCATTTCCACTTCCATTTCCACTTTTTCTAATTTCTACTTCCATTTTCATTTCCACTTCCATTTCCACTTTTTCTAATTTTTATTACCATTTCCATTGGGAAAATTAGAAAAAGTGGAAGTGGAAATATGGAAATGTAGAAGTGTAAGTCGGAGAGGAAATTAGAAAAAGTGGAAATGGAAAATGGAAATAGTGATTGGAAAAAGTGGAAATGGGAATGAAAATCAGAAAAAGTGGATGTGGAAATAGGAATGAAAATGAGAAATTTCCACTTTTCCAATTTCCACTCTTACTTCTAGTTTTTTTAAATTTACATTCCTATTTCCACTATTACAATTTTTCATTCCTACTTTTATTTCCAATTTTTCTAATTTCCACTCCTATTTCCACTTCCGTTTCCACGTCCACTTTTTCCAATTAACACTCTAACTTTCATTTCCACCTTTTCTAATTTCCCTTTCCGATTCCATTTTCATTTCCACTTTTTTTAATTTCCATTTCTATTTCCACTTTTTCTAATTTCCACTTTTTTCTAATTGGAAAAAATTAAAGTGGAAATGGGAATGGAAATTATAAAAAGTGGAAATGCAAATTAAAAAATTTTAAAGTGTAAATGGAAGCGGGAGTGGAAATTATAAAAAGCGGAAATGCAAATTAAAAAATTTTTAAGTGTAAATGGAAGCGGGAGTGGAAATTATAAAAAGCGGAAATGGAAATGAAAATGGAAGTAGGAATAGTAGTGGGAGTGAAAATGAGAGTGAAAATTTGAAAAAACATTAGTGGAAATAGAAATAAAAGTAAAAATTGGAAAAAGTGGAAGTAACAGTGGAAATGGAAATGGATTAACACAATCGATTTTTATTTTTAAAGAGATAAATTGGTTTTAAATTTTGACTATTATCAGAAATTAAATTTTCTTGACTATATCAAAACTTTAATGAAATGAAATTAATGAAATTGTTTAACATAACCTCAAACTAGTAGTAGTTTTTCAAGTTTTCACTTTTTCAAAGTAGTTTTTAACAGAACTAAAAATATATTTAAAATTGATTTCACCCAAATTCAAAGAATCCAGTTCTAAAATTTTCAAAAAAAAAAAAAAAAATATTTTTAATTAAAATTTGTTGTTAAATAATAAAGTCGGTTTTATAAGGTTTTTTTTTTGAAATTAAAAAAATCAGTATCTTTTTTTACACGTAGTATATTTTTACAAAAACGTTTATAAACAATCTCTGCTATTGTATAATAAATACACTAGTTACATTGGACGAGGTACCAAGTGCTAAATATTTTAATTTAAAAAATATTTTTTGGAATTTTCTTAATTTTTTTTTTTACTACAAATCCTTTATTTTTTATTTGCGGAAATTTTTAACAAAATTCTCCTCATGATTATATACTGACAAAAGAAAATTTATTTCATTCAAATAATATCGATTACTTGACTATTATCAAATAAATATTTATTTGAACCAAATAATTTGCATTTGAATTAAATACATTGTATTTGAACCAATAATAATTTCTGTATTAGAAATAAATAACATTTTATTGATTCAAATAATAATTATTTGGTTCAAGTAAATATTTATTTGATAATAGTCAAGTAATCGAGTATTTGAATCAAATAAATTTTTTTTTCAGTGTGATATTGATAGTTTTTGTAGAATTTGGCTAGTCTGACTAAAACTTACTTTTACTACTGTCAATTAAAATAATTTGAAAGGTTTCCTTGACTAAAATTGTCTAATATAATACTAATATATATAATTTTATAATACTAATTATAGTTAACTACTAATATATTATAAATTATAAATTATAAATTATAAATTAAAAATTAAAAAATTGTTTATTTTATAAATTTTGAAATTCATGAGCATTAATTCCAAAAAATATTTTTTTCATACATGATATAATGGGCGTTATGAAAACATGTGTTTTTTAACGCGATTATAAAAAATGCTTCTTTTCGGTAAAATAATTTTAAAAAAAATTTGTTTACATGTTAATAAATATAACGGAAAATGCGTTTTTTTTAATGCTTGGCACCTTTTGGAAAAACAACAATTTACTAATAAACTGATAAATGGCAGTGTACATATATATACACGTATATCTTGTATTTATTTTTACTGAAATTCTGCGTAATTTAATGTAAATTTCATAAATTTTATTCTATAAAAAAGTTATAGAAATTTTAAAATTTGTATTATCAATCGTTACAAGGCACTTAAATTAGAAATTGTAACAAAAAAAGTCTTTCAGTTTTTTCACCAGAAAAAAATTTGTTAATTTCGTTTCTTGGTTCTTATTTTTAAGATAATCGAAAAATTTCCTATTTTAAAACTAATAATTCTATAAAGAATTTCAAGAATTAAGACTTGATTTTTTTCTTCTTCTTCTTTTTATCAGTCAAAATTTACTAGGCATTGTAAGGAAAAAAAAAAATTGTAAACCATTTACAAGCACACCTTAATCGAACTCTAAATCTGAATTAGTGAAGTTATCCACTAATTTTTTTCTAATTCTAATTCTTCTAATTTTTTTAGACTTAATATTTAAAGACAGTTCTATTTTTTTCCCTAGTTTTGATGAAAAATAAGTAGAAATATTCACAAATTCAAATTTAGAGAGAAATATTAACAATCTTATGGACGGATTCGAACATTGATTAATGATACACTTATCTAGATGCTTATCGATATCTATACACGATGGGAGAGAAAATTTGATTAAAAAAAAATTTCAACTTAGAAATGTCTAGTTTAAAAATCAGTCAAAGTAGAATATTATTGACCGTGTATTTTATATTCGAAATACCACTTTTCTCTGCTTGGTTAGATGAAAAGGAAAACTTTATCAAAAAATTAACTTCCTTTAAGATGGCGGTGTACTGCTGTCAGAGCGAAGATGTGAAGGCGCAGCCTCACTGTAGGCAATATCGAACACACTTTTTTTCTCTAACAATTGTTGATGTCTCAATTTTGTACCACCTTGAAGTGATACTGCAATACCCGAATCTAAATCATCTTCAATTTTTCTTCCTTCTTGATCGAGAAAATGTTCGGGTGAATTTTGTGGTGAGGGATATGGAGCAGGTGGCGGATGAAGATAAAATGGAGGTGGTATTTTTTCGTATTTATACTCGGAGTGTTGTATCAAATGATGTTTTGAATTTGTTTGCAAATGATTTTCCATTGGTGGTGGTGGTGGATTTTTAGGTGTAAAAATTTGTACAGTTACATCTTGTTCTGCTTTACCTTTTCGCATTTTTCTCCCTTGACGAACAATTGCTTTTAATTGTTCCGATTCAACGTTTACGGAAGGTTTCACTTTGTGCTTTAATTTTGGTGTTCCCTCTGATTTTGCTTCTGGTGATTTATTTGGTTCTTTTGGTATCGTCAACAATGAGGTTTTCATCCAACGAGGTCTTTGTTTTTCCTCCTCTACCAATTTTCGTTCCACTCTCTTCTTTTCCATTTCTTCTCTTTTTTGCTTGTACCACGACATGTATCTTGATTCAGCTTTAATGGGCTCTTCAGATTCGGGTTTAATATCAATTTTTGATTTTTTGAGATGATGAATTTCAGATTGATCGGAAACAAGAGGAGATTTATCTCGTATTAATTTTTTTGTTTCTCTTTGAGGTGATTTTGGAGAATTTTTATCTAATTGCTTTTCTTTTTGATGCAAACTTGGTGACTTTTCTCGAATTTTTTCTTCTTTTTTGGGAGATAAACTTCTTTGTCTTCTTTCTTGAGAAATTGATTTTTTTGAATGTTCTTCGGCTATTTTCTTTTGTCTTTCAATTTCTGTTGTTGAGGATGCAAAAATTTTCTTTGTATCCTTTTTCAAGATTGTTCTTTTTGAATTATCATTGATTTTAGTGGATTTTTCAACTGGTGGTTTTTTTGTATCACGTCCTAGTGTATCGATTCCATGTACCATTGGAGATTTATCTCTTTCGTGTTGTGATTTATGTTGTTTTTTTCCACTATCCTCAGGAAGCAATTTGCTTACTTGCTTTTTGGAATCAAATTTTGGAATCAATGGGGATTTATCTCTAAATTTTGATTTTTTAATTTCATTCTCCGAAAGAGAGTTCTTAATTTCTTTTCTTGGTTTTGTCACTGATGTTTTTGAAGATTTTTGATATTCTTTTACATTTTTCTTTTTTATATGCCCATTGTCGTCAGTTTGCTTTTTAATATCCGTTTTATCTTCAATATCGAGTGCAGCTTGTCGTGAAATTTTTAAAGAATTTTTCTTTTCTAAATTATTTTTTGATGCTTGAAGATTGTTTTCCGATTTTTTTGAATCATCAGTGTCAAAAATTTTTGGCGAATGTCGAGGAGTGTGATATGGTTGTGTTGTCAACATTGTTTTACTGGACATGTCACTTTCCGTTGATGAATCACTGTCAGATTCTGTTGTACCACTAAATTGTTTGTAAAGTAATTCTAATCTTTGTAATCGTTGTTGTTCCTCTTGTAAAATTTTAGCCATTTTTCTTTCGTGATCTTCATTTCGGAATGTTAAATTGTCTTTTTTTGCTATTGAATCAAAAGAAGTTTCCTTCTCTATTTTTTCCATGGAAGGTTTAGATACTTTTGTTTCGTCAACTGATTTCGAAGGCTCCTCTAAAATTTTATCAAATTTTTGTTGTAGAGTGATGGGTTTATTTTTATCTAAATTACTAGATGATTTTGTAGGTGAGATAATTTTCTTAGTGCTTTCATCTTGATTTGAAACAGTTTTTAAAGGTATATCCTTTGCAGTCTTTTTATCTTGAGTATGAATTTTCTTGTCATCTGCATCCTCTTTTAATGATTCTTCTTCAATTTTTGCGTTTTTTTTAACATCATTTTTTTCCTTACTTTCAGAATCTTGAAAACTTTGTAAAAATTGCTCGTGATCTACAAACGAATCAGTGGATGAACGAAGTAGTTTATAGGCTTTTTCTTTGGAAACATTTGCAGAACTGTCGGAACTTGTTTCGGAAGTTTCTGTTTGACTTGTTTCAATAATTCGTTCACCTTTTAATTCGTCTGAAGTTTCTTTAGATTCCACTGTTTTCTCTTTATCTTTACTTTCACTAGATCTAGTTTCATCGAAGGATAAGGTTCGTGAATCACTATCAGTCTTATTGATTTCTTGTACGTTTTTAAATTGTTTAATTGTCGAGTCAGTCTCATCACTTGTGTCTACTGTTGATTCTTGTGAATCGTCTATGAATCTCATGTCTTCGGTTTCTAGCATTAATGGCTTCATTTTTGGACTAGATTCTTCTTTTTGTTGTGTTACATTTTCGGATTTTTTTATTTTTACTTCTTCTGTTTCTTTTATGGGAATTTTAGGAGATTCTTTTGTAGTTTTGTCAACTTTAGTATTTGTTTTGTCAGTATTTTCAGCAGCTACATCCATTAGGTTGTCAATTTTATCAGGTGTTGTCATTAGCTTATCCATTACTTCAGTTACAATGTCTACTAATTTTTCTTTTGTTTCTATTTCTTTATCTAAAAATTGGTCCTTGTAATCTGTTGCATCTTCTAACAATTTGTTTTTCTGATCTGTAGCTTCTTTTAACAATTGGTTTTTTTTATCTGTTGCATCTTCCAACAATTGGTTTTTCTTATCTGTTGCCTTTTCCATTTGTTCGTCTATCCTATTTGCTTTTTCTATCAATTGGTTCTTCTTATCAGTTATTTCTTCTATCAATTGATCTTTCTGAATTGTTGCTTTCTCGATTAATTGATCCTTCTGATCCATTGTTGTTTTAATCAATTCGTCTTTAGCTTCACTCACTTCAGTTATCAATTGCTCCTTTTTGTTTGCATTTTTCTGAAGCAATTCATTCTTAATATCAGTTGTTTCCTTCACCAATTTTTCTTTAATATCTTTTGTTTCCTTAATTACTTTTTCTTTAATATCCATTTCATCTTTGGTTAATTTTTCTTTAATATCTTTTGTTTCCTTGATTACTTTTTCTTTAATATTCATTTCATCTTTGATTAATTTTTCCTTAATACTACTTAATTCGTTCTCGTTTGTTTCATTTAATTTTCCACATGTTCCCTGATCTATAGTGGCTGATTTTAGTTCCAAAAAGGGTGAACTAGTTTCATTCGTATCTTCTTTATTTTCTTCTAAAGTTGCCTTTGAAAATAATGTTCCTTTGGAAAAATTTGCTTCCGAAACTTGTTGTACTCCTTTTTCGGAAATTTGTTGCATTGAAATGTTTTCTTTTTTATTTGTATCGGAAAATTGTTCATTTTCATCTGTAACATGTTGTAGTATTTTTTTCGTTTTATTATCAAACTTTGCATTCGAGATTTGTTTTTCCTTTTCAGTCTCTCGAGAAATCCTTTCTTGTTGAGGAATTGAATATTTGCCTTCATCTTTGTTTGCTTCAGGTTTAGTCTTTGTTTCAGCTTTTTGATGTTTGTCAGTTATTTTCGATGGAGGACTTTCCATTCGGGTACTAATGATAGTGTAAGCTGATTTTGATATATCTGATAAATCATCTTTGGGAAGAATTTTAGATTCTTGGGTAACTTTTGAGCTTCTGATTAATTGCTTCTCGCCTGATGAGTCATCGCTCTTTTTTAATTCTCTCACTTTTCGTTTAGTGACTTCTTTAGTTCGAGAAATTATATTTTTCATTGTTCCCTTTGAAACTTGTAGTCTTGATTGTCGTTTTATTTTAAAGGGCCTTTTGCTAATTTCAACCTTTTTTAGATTTAATTCTTTAGCTTTGATATTTTCTGATTCAGAAATTTCGGAATTAATTGATTGAACTACTTCTTGATGTTTTAGGGTATGCTTTTTTATTCTTCCTTGATCCAATTTCTTCTTTCGAGGCACATCACTTTCTTTTGTTGACGAATCTTGATCCTTTGTTTTTGAATCATAATTCTGTCTAAAATCTTTTTTAGTGTCTTTTTTTGAATTTAGATCTTTGACATTTTTTGATCCTTTTTTTCTTTCCGTGTCATCTTCATCCTCCGTTTGCATATCGACCTTTTTGTATTTCCTTTGACCGAAGTTTCGAATTTTTTTCTGCAAGGATGTGATTTCTTTTTCTAAAATACGAAAGCTAGGCTCTTCTTTCTTTTTGGAGGATGGTTTTTCTTTGGCTTTTTTGATTCTGTTCTTTATGAATTTATCTTTCTCTGTTTCGGGTGAGGTGGAATCTTCAGTTTTACTAACGGAACTGAGTTCAATTGTTCTTTGTCGAATTTGGGGCGAATCCTCTTCATCTCTTGGAGAACTGCTATTTGCAACTTCATCGAGGGAATCGGAGATTTCTTGAAGTACATCCGGTGAGACTGGTGTTCGTTTAGATTCAGTCTTTCTTCGTATAGTTCGTACCTCGGGACTTCGGGGAATTTCTTCTGGTATTGATTTAATCCAACTGGTCTTTATGGGTTGAACTTTTTTCTTGACCTTTGCTTTCTTTCTCAGTCTATTCTCATCATCGGATTCGTCATTGTCACTTCTGCTTCGAATTTGACGATCCGTTTGCGTGGCGGTTGTTCTGTCAGTTTGGGTTGCCATTGCCACTTGACCGGGAAGACTTTGGGTTTCTAGATAGCTTCCCGCGTCGAGATTACCTGGAACACCTCTACTTGATTCTTTTTCTAAAAGAAGGCGAGTTAGAAGAGCATTTTGCCTCACTAGTTCCACTTCGTTTATCGTGTAGGTCTGAACGTTTGCCTGACGAGGATCTCTGGTGTCATCAGTGGAATTTTCAGCGCTTTTGGATGCTGGATCACTGGCCATTGCTTCACCACCTCCTTCTCTGATTTCCCTTCGAAGATTACCTTCATTTTCAATTCGTCGTGGCTCTGTGTAATCACTTCGATCAATTAAAATTCTTTGACCAGAGGGAAGGTACTTGAGTGTCTCGGCCTCTAATCTTTGTGGAATTAACAAAATCTCCTGACGTCTTGGCGATACTTCCTTTGGATGCTGATGAGATTCCATGCTCAAACCTTCGATATCGTGTCTACTACCAAGAAGATCTTGTCTAATTTCTTGATCCTCAATAAATCTTTGAAGAAGAATTTCTTTTCCGTCTCGATAGAGATGGGATTGTTGATCAATCACTAATGTCACTGGTCGATGAATTTGTCCACGTTCTTGAAGTTGTTCTCGCTCTCTGAGTCTCTGAGTCTCTTCATCTTGACCTCTGGTCACAAGTCGAAGAACTTCGGCGTTACCTTCTCGAAAAAAATGTTGTTCACGAACATTTGCTTTGTGATTAGCAAGTTGCCTCTGACGAGATATATCCGATCCCCTGGCGATTTCGTGTCTTCTTATTGAATCCATATCTGTTTCGTAATTTCTGACTTGTGCCTCAACATCCTCCACGTACATTCTATCGTCATCTGATCTTCGCATAAATTTGTGAATTGGAGCTGGACTATCGTTTTGTAATCTCAATGATAGTGCATTTCTTTTTGGTTCAATATCGACATGAGCCACATCACCAGGTAGTGATGCCAATCCATATTGTTTTGTATTTCTTCGATTAAATTGCCAATTTCGTTTTATGGGATCTGCACTCCATGCCTGTTTTTTCTCCATGTCTGGTCATGAAATAATTAAATTTTAAAAAAAAGCGCTTTATAATAATTATTTTTGGTTAATAATAAAAATTTACCTTCAGTACGTTTTCGACGAAGATGCTTTTTTGGTCTTCCATCGGCTCGATAAATAAGCGTCTCTGTTGAATGTATTCTTCTTTTTCTTGGCTCCATATAAAAGGGACATCCAGGACATATGCAGCAGATTATCAGGCATATAATAGCGAGGAGAATAAGAAGACCCAAGAGGATTAGTAGCCATGTCAAAAGCTTGTTCTCCGCCTTGTATGTTGTCTAAAATAAAACTTTAACTTTTTATTTCTCAAAAGTGAGTGATATAAAAAAATGATAAACAAATTGTAATTTAATTTTTTTCTAATTCCAATTTTTTACTCACTACTTCTTTTTGATTAATTGTAACCGAATTGTTAGTGATAATTTTAGTGTCCCCTGTTATTGTTTTTACTCCATCGTTTGGGTCCATTATCACACCCACTCCATAAGGTAATAGAGTTTTTCGAATTTTTTCAATATCCACCAAAGTGCCAATACCTTGTTGTTCAACTCGTGCGACAATTACACTCCTGAAATAATAAATTTTTTAATTATCGATTTTTATAAATTAAATTGATTTTTCAGTTGAGGTAAAAAAAATAAATATTTCACTTAATTAAAGTTAACGAAAAATTTCAAGGTGACATGATTCAAGGCAAAAGTCGAGTGGACTTCAATGTTACTGTCACTGTCCATTAGAACCTTTTGTTTGGATTCTCTTGATTTGGAGTGACAGTGAAGCAGACGAAAAAAAAAATACATTCTGGTTGTAAAAGTTTTATGTGATCAGACGAAAAAAAAAGTTACACTCCCCTCTATATTGTGTTGGATTTCGGAGAATGTTAGGGATGAAATATTGTATGTATATATATAGGGTATTGGTTATAAAATCTGACATTGTGGAAGAGAGCAACATTGCTCATTGAAATGGTTGAAAAGTGATGAGTTCGACACGCGCCATTAACACATGTGCGGTCCATCGAATCGATCGGCTGACCAAAACCGTTTGTATCCACTGCGCAATTTATACACTTCATCCTCGAAAGTGAATAAAGGTTTCCTAGTCAGACAGTCAATCTGCATTATTCATGCGAGCCCGATCATGGCTGAAAGACGCTTTTGGTAGCACTGTAAATTATTCCCTTTAAGATCCATTTCCTCTGATTTATTTCCGATATAGTCAAATGTTACTGATTTTTCACGCTCGTTGAAATGGTTTACAAATTAAACAATAATTTAGGCAATTATTATTATTATCATTTATCTTGATTTCGATTCTAGATCATAAATACATTATTTTTCAATAAAAACGAAAATCTTTTGTGGAGCCGTTTTTGAAAAAAGTCGATTTTAAAATTCAAAATGCTCAAAAACTTAACTTTTCATCAAGAAATATTTATTTAAGAAAGAATTTCATCAGATGGAATTTGTAGATATTAAAAAAAGAAATTTTTTTGTTCTTACGATTAATAATTTACTAAAAAAACGAAAAAAAAAATATAATGACTGGTTCATTACGTCCTGTCGCCGTCAGATGGCAGAAGCATACAGGAAGCACAATATCGCAGCTCTTATATTACTTTCCTAATTTTTGTTTTTCAATCGAATTGCAATTATTATCAGTATTATTATTATTATTATTATTATTATTATTATTATTATTATTAAAAAAAATTAATTCAATTTAAAAATATAATATTAAAAATTTTAATTTAATCAATTTACTTTTTTTTGCAATTCTTTTGAAATTTTGAAATAATTCTCAATAAAACGGAGATTTATATATATATTTTGTTGAGCATGGAATTCCAGCTGTTTTAATGATGAGAGCAACTATTAAAAGGCAATTAAAACTTTACGAGTGTTATTCAATGGACTTGAAATGTAAATATGGAATATTTGCATGATTTTATTTTTAATTATTGTACTCTTGAGACGATTTTGATTTGGAACAATAATCATCTTTTTCACTTTTTCAATTCGAAAATTTCAATTATTTTTTTTTTTTATTAAAATTTCATTCAAATAAAATATTGAAAATTCATTTTTATAACATATAATTTAACTTCGAAAAATGAACACCTACTGAGGTCAACAATAATAATAATAATAAATAAAAAAATTAATAATAATAATAATAATAATAATTTTCGAACAAATTTTATTTGAGGAATAAAAATTGATTTATGTGAGGAGATATAAAACAATTATGAAATATTAAACATGAGAGGGAAAAAAATTTTTCTGCAGTTACTAATAGACATTAATCATATGTAGTGAATAGAAGAAAAAAAACTGACTTTTTTCCACCCTCAGGATCACTTGGCTGTGGGTTGTAGGGTCGGATCTCTTGAATAATAACACTTTCCCCAGTAATGGTAGCTAATGTTTTGGCAGTTTTCGCCGGATCCGGATGTTCTCCAGGCATTACAAACAGCACAATGCGAGCTGCTCCCATCACAGCTCCTCTCAACACTCGTATTTGCGTCTGGCTTGAAAGATGTGGCACTCCTATAAAAGGACGCGAAAAAGATTTTTCAATTTCACACGTCTTATTAATATATGTATATATATACTCTCTGTCGTCGACATAAAAAGCTTTTATATAAAATGCCTCACACATTTTTTTTTTCATCTTTTTTTTTAATACATTGAACATTATTTTTTTTATTCATTCAAAGAATAAATTACTTGAATATTATTAGATATATATATATATTTCAAATAAATATATATTTAATTGTGGTAAATTATTATTTGAAAAATATATTTTTGGAATAAGGTATTTGTTTTAAATACAGAAATTATTATTTCATTAAAATAAATATTAATATTTTTTTCACATATATAAAATTATATTTGGAAAACAATAAAAATTGCGTACCCTGATCGTAAGCTCTTGCAGTTAATGTAAAAAGTGCATTCTCCTCTGCTCGTTTTGTTCGAACGTAACTAATTTTAGAAAAAATATTTTCACTATTTTTTCCTGAATAAAAATTTGTTGTTGGTTTGAATTTTTTTTTGAAAAATTGTGAAATATTTTCCCTTTTATTTCTATTGAAAACGTTGGCTCCTCTTTCTTTCTTTAAATGAGTGTTTTGTCTAATGTATCGCGTTTTGTTAACAGCCTCTCGTAAAACCAATTCACCTGTGACCTCGTTCAAATAAAATTTGTTGTCGTAGTTTCCGTGTATAATTTCGTAGCGTACCACATTGTTTGGCGGCTCGGCATCAGCATCGGTTGCCTGAAATCCATAGAGAATTGTTTTTACTCTCTGAAAATAAAATCTGACAAACACCATGCGCTATTGAATTATTTTTTCTTTCTTTTTTTGTTTTTTAAATTGTTTTCTTTTGTTACTATTGCAATTTATGTTTCTTTGAATAATCACGTAAATGTGGCTTGTTGAGGTGAAAAAAAATTTTACATAAAAGAATTTTTATAGAACAATAAACGTTATAAGTGGAATTTATATTCAACTGAAAGTTAAAATACTGGAAGTCGATTCCGTAACATTATAATTTTGCACTTTCTACCTTTTATTTTCTAGTTTCCACTTCCCATTTTCTACTTCCCAGTTATCACTATATACTTTCTACTTTCTACCATTCCATTTCCCACATTTAGGCTCCACATGTAAAACTTCCACTTTCTACTTTTCACATCTCACTTTCTACTTTCTACCTCCTACTTACCAATTCCTATTTTATAGTTCCCACTTACCACCATAAACTTCCCATTTTCTAAATTTATCTTTCATTTCCTACTTCTAAATTTTCACTTTCTACCCCCCACTTTACACATCTAAATTTACACATCCCATTTTCTACTTTCTACCTTACATTTCCTAATTTTTACACACCACTTTCTATTTCTAAATGTCCACTTTTAACTTATTACTTACCATCCTATACTTCCAATTTTGAACTTCCTACTTTTCAAGTCCCATTTTCTACTTTTTACCTCCCACTTGAAACTTTTAACATTCTATTTTCTATTTCCCACTAACCACCACCTACTTCCCATTGTCTACTTTTTATATTTTATTTTCTTATTTTTACACCCTACTTCCCATTTTCTACATTTATCCTTACTTTTTCACATTTTAGGCCCTATATCCTACTTCTAAATTTCTACTTTTCACACCTTACTTTTAACTTTCTACATCCCACTCTCCATTTCCCACTTTCTACTTCTCGCTTTCCACATATTTATTTCCACGTTCTACGTCCTTTTTTCCACTTCCCATTTTCTACTTTCCATTATTCACATCTTAATTTCCATTTCCTATTGTCTAACTTCTATCTCTCAATTTTCACTTTATATACCCCACTTTCCAGTTTCTACTTTCTACCTCCCATTCCCCATTTTTTGCACTTAACTTTCCATTTTCTACTTACCACTAGCCACCATATACTTTCCATTTTCTACTTTCCCAACCCACTTCCTATCTGCTACATTCAACCTCCATTTCCCAGTTTTAACGCTCCACTTCTAAGTTTCCACTTCCTACCTCCCATTTTTCACATCTAAATTTACAATTTACAAATTCTAATTTCTACTTTCTACCTCTAACTTCCAACTTTTAACATTACATTTTTCAATTTCTGTTTCCCATTTACCACCATATACTTCCAATGTTTAACTTTCCACTTCCCATTTTCTACTTTTTACATTCCATTTCCCACTTTTCTCACCTTACTTTCCATTTTCTACATTTATCCTTTATTTTCCACTTTCTACGCCCATCATACTTTTAAATTTCCAGTTTTCACTTTCAACTTCCCACTTTCCGCATCTCAAATTCCATTTTCTATTGTCTAAATTTCCACTTTCTACTTCCCACTTTTTACACCTTACTTTCCACTTTCTATTTGCTACTTTCCACTTTCCACATTTCAATTTCTACTTTTTACCTCTCATTTCTCACTTTTTATACCCATTTTCCATTTTCTACTTTTAATATCCCATTTCCCACTTTTCGCACTTTACTTTCCGCTTCCTACATCTCATTTCATTTTGAGTAGAAAATGTGAGGTAGAAAGTAGAAAATAAAAAATGGGGTATAAAAAGTGAGAATAAGCGATAGAAAGTAGAAAATGGGAGATAGATATTTAGATATGGAAAGTGGGAAGTAGAAAGTAGAAAATGGAAAGTGGGAGGTAGAAAGTAGAAATTTAGAAGTGGAGCGTAAATGTGGAAAATGGGAGGGTAGAAAGTAGAAATTTAGAAGTGGGGCGTAAATGTGAGAAATGGGAGGGTAGAAAGTAGAAAATGTAAAGTGGAAAGTATGAAGTGAAAAGTGGAATGATATGGTTGGTACAAAGTAGAAAGTGAAATGTGTGAATATGGAAAGTGGAAGTTTAAAAGTGAGAAATGGGAAATTTACAGAATTGACCTCTTGAAATTGTAAAAAAAAATATTCCCCAAAAATATTTAAAAACAATAGAGGAGAAAAAAAAATAGAAATTTTAGATAAAATACCTTGATGAATGCTGGCATTGTGAAATTAGTAAGATCGGCGTTGAGTGTGAATTCGTAACTAGATTTATCGAAAATTGGAGCATTGTCATTGACGTCTAATAAGTTAACGATGAAGGGAACAACGCCTCTGAGACCCCTGCCAACCTCGTCTCGAGCTTCCACTGACAATTGCAGTTGGGGAGTCCTTTCTCGATCGAGTTTATTCCCCATAGCGACGGATATTAAGCCGCTATTTGGATCCATTGTAAACGCTTCACTACCAGTTCCCGTGATGCCCGTATACAGTATCATTCCATACAATCCTGAATCCTTATCAGTTGCATGTACCTAACATGGTCAATAAAATAGACTTATATATATATAAAATGATAAGACCATTTTTCACCCTCACAGTTGGTAACCATTTATCTTTTTAAATTAAAATCCCTTTAAATTACTTTTGGTTAATATATATTTATTACTTGATAAAATTAACATTGAATTTTCAATACTTAATTTCGTTTTTTTTTTCTTGACTTTTTTTTATAAATTTTCTTTTTCTCATAAATAATGTTCTTCTACCTGAATAACTTTTGTCCCCATTGTTGTGTTTTCCGAGAGGTCGACTTCGTATTTTTTTTCATCAAATATTGGTATATTATCATTAACATCTCGTAAAAGTATTATTACTGGTACGCTTGTTGATAAATTTGTCGCTGGACCAACTTCTTGAGCTGTAATCTGAAAAAAATTTATAAATTTTAATTTATTATTAAATTATAATATCTACAAATATTAATAATCTCTCAATTAATAAAAAAAAAAATTTTTAATTTATTTCTATCACGGATAAAGAGATTTACCGAAACTTTTCAATAAAGTAGAAAAAGTTTTACTTGATTCAGTTAAATCTTTCGCTATTCTAGTGAAACTTTTTTCGCTGTTTCAGGTAAATATTTTTTTTCGTGTAGTAGTGATTGATTTTTTTTTAATGAATTCAGAGAGAAAAACTCACTATAAAATTGAGACTATGATACATTTCATAGTTAATAAGACTGTTATCTCTAACTGTGATAATAAAATTTGTTGCTCGTTCACCAACAGTTGGATTAATTTCAAAGGTACCATTGTTATTTTCTAATTTGAGTGCGAAAACTCCGGCTTTTCCAACATCATCGTCTTTGACTTTTGTCGAATAAGAATCACTGAACGTAACCATTGAACCCGGTTCTGCGTTTTCATTAAGCCATGCCATGTAACTAAAAAAAAAAATTCATTTTTTTAAAAAATTTTACAGTAAAACGAAAATCTTATTATAAGATAAAAGTATAAAATTTAAGAAATATTTATTTAATTAATCATTAATCATGAATTACTGTCTGTATAGTTATAAAAAAAGTTGAAACGAAAAAAAAAATAATTAAAAACTAAAACTTAGGTACCAACTTATCATTCTCAAAATGAGGTGGATTATTTCCCGGTTCACCGAGAAGAAAGCCAACTTCAACGACAGTTGATTGTGCAGGGGGTTCATCTTTACTCCTTCGAATTTCTTCGGCGACCACTTTTAACACCACTGGTGCTCCCACATAAGTAATTTGCGTCAATTCTTGTAATGGACGTGATAAAAATATCTCCCCTAAAACATTAAATTCAAGTTATTGACCCTCTTTTTTTTATTTTTTTTCATTCCCATTTAATTTTAATTCTGTTTATAATTTTCAAGAAACTATTTTCTTGTTTCAAGATCATTTTTTCAAATATAATGATAATTTTATTATATTTATAATAATGATAATAATAATAATAATAATAATTTATAATAATTTTTTCAATATAATTTTTAACTATTTCTGATTATTATTATTAATTATTTATTTTTATTTTCTCAGATAGCAAATTTTTATTCCAGGAATGTTTGAGGAATATTCCAGTGGAAGATTTTAGTATTCCGCTGGACTTTTTTTTGGTGGGGTCCAAGGAAAAAGGGAAATCTAATTTAAATGGAATATAAGAAATGTTCCTGTGGGTTGATTACTTAATTCCATTTCCATTTCCACTTTCACTTTTTCGAATTTTCATTCCCATTTCTACTTTCTCTTTCTCTAATTTTCATTCTCATTTCCATTTCTACTTTTTCTAACTTTCACTTCTACTCCCATTTCCACTTTTTCTAATTTTCATTCCCACTTTCACTTCCACTTTTTCTAATTTTGATTACCATTTCCATTGGGGAAAATTAGAAAAAGTGGAAGTGGAAATGAGAATGAAAATAAGAAAAATTGGAAGTGGATATGGGAAACAATGGAAGTGGAAGTGGAAGAGGAAATTAGAAAAAGTGGAAATAGGAATTGAAATTAGAAAAAGATGAAGTGGGAATTAAAAAAAACTGGAAATAAAAGTAGGAGTGGAAATTGTAATAGTGGAAAGGGGAATGTAAATTTAAAAAAGTGGATGTAAGAGTGGAAATTGGAAAAAGTGGAAATAGAAGTGGAAATTAAAAAAAGCGGAAGTGGAAATGAAAATGGAATCGGAAAGGGAAATTAGAAAAGATGGAAATGGAAGTTAGAGTGTTAATTAGAAAAAGTGGACGTGAAAACGGAAGTGGAAATAGGAGTGGAAATTAGAAAAACTGGAAATATAAGTAGGAATGAAAAATTGTAATAGTGGAAATAGGAATGTAAATTTAAAAAAACTGGAAGTAAGAGTAGAAATTGGAGAAGTGGATATTTCTAATTATCATTCCCATTTCTACTTTCTCTTTCTCTAATTTTCATTCTCATTTTCATTTCTACTTTTTCTAACTTTCACTCCTACTCCCATTTCCACTTTTTCTAATTTTCATTCCCACTTTCACTTCCACTTTTTCTAATTTTTATTCCCATTTCCATTGGGGAAAATTAGAAAAAGTGGAAGTGGAAATGGGAAAATAAATGGAAGTGGAAATAAGAATGAAAATAAGAAAAATTAGAAGTGGATAACGGAAACAATGGAAGTGGAAGTGGAAATTAGAAAAAGTGGAAATATGAATTGAAATTGGAAAAAGATAAAGTGGGAATTAAAAAAACTGTAAATAAAAGTAGGAGTGGAAATTGTAATAGTGGAAAGGGGAATGTAAATTTAAAAAAGTGGAAGTAAGAGTGGAAATTGGAAAAGTAGAAATTAGAAAAAGTGGAAATGGAAAATGGAAAATGGAACTAGAAATTGAAAAAGTGGATATGGAAACGGGAAATTGATAAAGTGGAAGTGGGAATGAAAATCAGAAAAACTGGATGTGGAAATAGGAATGAAAATAAAAAAAAAGTGGAAGTGTAAATGGAAGTGGGAATGAAAATTAAAAAAAGTGAAAATGGGAATATTCCTGGAAAGTTCCTGAAAATTTCCTGGAATAAGTTGTGCTATCTGGGGTTCTTGACGTAAAAAATATATTCTCGTTAAAAAAGATGCAAATTTTTTTATTTTAATTTTTCTTCGAAGAAAAAAATCTTTATCTAGAACAGCGATATGTTTCTCTAGAGTAGAGAAAACTTTCTCTGTTTCAGTGAAACATTTCGCTGTTCTGATAAAACTTATCGCTGTTTCAGGTAAAGATTTTTTTTCTTGTTCGGAAAAGAAAAAAATTCGATTCCACACCAATTTTTTTTTTTTTTAGTAAGGGATGTACATATTCTCAGCGTTCAATTACACAACCCTTTGCATTCTCTCCCGCTTTGTTAATTCCAATTCTCTTCAAAATGAATAAAACATAAAGCGAATTAGCGAAGAATTCCTTCTTGCTAAATGTCATTATATGAATATACATTATTTTGTATAATATATATATATATATATATATAAAATATTATATAGATGTGTAGAAAGTTAAAAAAGTGTTTGTGTGAACTATACGCAACGGTTTATTTTGCATATTTTGGCACGAGACCAAAAGGTGCTTGGACTAAGAAACCTCCTTTACAAGGGTTAAAAAAAGAGGGGGAAGTTTGGATCGCATGCGTCTCAGAGTGAATGATAACAATCACGAGAGAGTCTGACCATTCGATCGATATATCCATGTGCGGTGACTAAGTGGACTCCCTTTTGCTTCCTATTTTCCTTTTACAACTTTTAGCTTTGACTCATTTTGATTTCAAGTACAGTCGATTTAAAGGGCAAGATAAGAAAAATGGCTATTCAAAGTATCAGGGTCGTGTAGGGTAAATTATATATCCAACTGGACATAATTTTTGATGTCTGAGATTTTAGTTGTATGTTGTATTTATTGCTTTATCATTCAATCGATCGACGCGCTTTTTTTAAAGTCTTCTTCAAACTTTTGTTTTGAAACAAACAGAACAATTATTTATTATTTAGAACCAAAAAAAAATATTTCTTTGATTCGAAGAAATAAATTTCATTGACAAATTTTTCTTTGATATAAAGAAAATTTATTTGTTTAAAAAAAAATTTTTCTTTGATACAAAGAAAAATTAATTGTTTCAAGACAAATTATCTTTGATTCAATAAAAAAAATTATCTTCGTTTTAAAGAAATTTTTTATTTAATTCAAATATAAATGTTTCTTGGACCCAATATATATCATTGTTAGAATTTCTTTGATTTAATACACTTCTTTCATTCGAAGAAAATTTTTTTGAATCAAAAAAAAATTTCTTTAAATTAAAGAAATTATCTTTGAAACTAAGAAACTTTTTTTGTTTCAAAGAAAATTTTATTTTGAATGAAAGGAAACAGGTCAAAAAAAAATTGGTTTCTTTAAATCAAAATAAATCTTTTCTCTGGATGATAACATAATTTTTATTTTTATTATTTTTAATTTTTTATTATTTATTTATATTATTATATTTTTCAACTCACCTGTACTTTCCGAAATATTGAAAAATGTAACAAAAGGATTGTTATCCGGTAACAGACCATAAGTTATTTCTCTAGGAACTCCTTTATCTCCATCTTCTGCGTGAACTCTTAAGACTACGTCACCCTATGAAACAATAGAAAATTAAATTAACATTTTTTTTTTATAGAACAAATATTTTTTACAATTTTACAAATAATATTTACTTGTTTCAAATAAATATTTATTTGTTAAAAATAAATATCTATTTGTTAAAAATAAATATCTATTTGTTAAAAATAAATATCTATTTGTTAAAAATAAATATTTATTTGTTTCAAATAAAAATATTTATTTGTCCTTGAGATAAATATAAATTTTTTTATATTTACATTCAATGGAATAAAAATTCAAGTTTGACATTTTTTTTTTTTTTTTTTTTTTTTTTTTTTTTTTTTTTTTTTTTTATTTATTGAAAAAAAGGAATTAAAAAACAAGACTTACGGGTTTGACGGTATTATTAATTTTTGTTAATGGTGGTGCAAGTGTAAAAATTGGAGGAACATCCTGAACGTCCTTGACAACAACCACGACCTTTAACCCGGCAATGTTACGTGTATCCTTTCCTAATTCCGTGTATGCATCCTAATGGAAAAACATAATAAAAAATAAAAAAAAAAAAATTTCCTTTTAATTACCAATTCCATTGTTTGTAATTTCCTGGTAAAATAAATGTCACGTACCGTTGCGTACAGTGTGAGGGTGAACATGGATTGAGTTTCAAAATCCAATTCCCCGATAAGCGTAATTACCCCTCGTGTAGTGGCTGCGGTTTGTCGTTGTCTGATTTTAAACATCTCTTTCGGTTGCTAAAATAACGAAATTGATTTTTCCAAATTTAAATACTCCACAAATGCAATTAAAATTGCGTTGACGCGAAACTTGTTAAATGCTTACGTCAATTTTTCAATTAAAAAATTTTTTTTTTAAATTAATTTTTTCACATTAAAAAAATGGTTTTTAAATTAATTTTTTTACATTAAAAAAATGTTTTTTTTAAAAATATTTTCTTGTTAATTATTAATATTTTTTTTCACCACATTTATAAAATTAAGAAATTGCAAATATTTCTCGTACCCACAATTCTATGTAGACTGGTTTTCCACTCCAGGGATTTCCTCGAACTAAAATGTAATCTAGTTCTGTACCTGGCTTTGCATCCTGACAAAAATTTTTATCTTTATTATTATTATTTTTTTTCTTATTGTTTATTAGTAATTTTTATTATTATTATTATTATTACTATAATTTTTGTTATAAAATTTGTACGCAAAAAAAAATTTTTATCTAGAACAATGATCCCAGATAGTATGTAAGCTTGCAGTAAGCTTGCGGCAAGGTTGGCAATATTGCGCGGCAAGCTTTCCGCGAGGTTGCTGCAAGCTTACGTGCTATCTGTGATATGTTTCTCTAGAATAGCAAAAACTTTCGCTGTTCCAGGTAAAATTTTTTTTTCCATTTAGGAGAAATAAAATTATTACATTTATTATTTTTTATAAAGCAAGTTTAGGGGAAAGTAAAATTTTTATTATTATTATTTTTTATAAAGCAAGTTTAGGGGAAAGTAAAATTTTTATTATTATTATTTTTATTAAAAAGCAAGTTTAGGAGAAAAAAAATTTATTTTTATTATTATTTTTTACAAAGCAAATTTAGGGGGAAAAAATATTTTAAAAAATTTTTATTATTAGTAATTAGTGGTTTACAATTATTTAAATTTGATTGATTTAAAATTTAATTGGAATTAATTTTATTATATTTGTAAAAGAGAAAAATGGATGAAAATTTACCTCGGGTACCATGACAAGAGATGGAATGTGAGGAAATATTTTATCTTGAGGTGTTGTGCAATTGGTGACCGAAATAGTTGCTTGCATTGAATTAAATTCACCCTTAGTATCTTTAACTCGAACAACGAAGTCGTGAAGTCTTCCGGGAATTAACCGCCTCACAAGAATCACGTTAGCCTGACACACTTTGTTGTACAATGTGCACGGTAAATTTTCAACCCGGACAACTGGAGTTGCTGTTGCTGTAAATATAGTGTCAATTCACTATTTATTTTTTATTTCACAAAAATCAAAAATTATTACTGAAAAAAAAATTTTTAATATAAAAAAATTAATCACTTTTATACACGGGATGAAAAAATTATTTGATTCAAATAATCGGTTGACTATTATCGAATAAATATTTACTTGAACCAAATAATTTTTTATTTAAATTATAGAAATTCAAATTAATTAATTTGTAATTAATAATTATTAATTGATAATACAATAAATATAGGAAATATAAATTTAAAAAATATAACAAAATATTCTAAATATTTATAATTATAAATTAATAATTATTAATTATTACAATTAATTATTAATTAATTAGTTTTTGCCAATTAATTTAGATTTGTTCTTTCTGTACTCGTTTTTGTTTATTTAATGATTAGTTAAATTTATAATTTTATATTAAATCATAATATTAATATTGAATGAATTTAATATAAAAAAATGATATAGATTTTTAAGTCGATATCTTTAGAGAAGAGCAACAGGTTGAAAAGAAAAGAGAAAAAAGGCATTTTTTTTTTTTAATATGAAAAAAAGAATTAAAAATTAGATTGACGTTTCTGTGATTATTTTATTTTCACTGAAAGGTAATTAATTTTTTTTTTTTTTTTTTAATTTACCATAAATATCGAAAGTCAATGGAAAATCGGCATCTTGATCGGTGGCACGTAAACGGAAAATTGTAGAATTGACTTCGGCATCGGCTGGAACTAAAACATGTCCCATATCCGTGGAAATGTCGAATTGTGGACGTGTTGCCTCGAAACATCCAATCATAAATCCCAAGTAGAGCCATGCTTTGAGCCATGCTTCTATCAAGGGCATTCTAAAAAAAAAATTTTCTTTAAATTAAATTATTATTTCATTATTTAAATTAAATTTAAAAAAATACATATATTTTTAAATTTTTGAACAATTCAAAGAATAAAAAAAAAAATTGTTTCTTTCTCTTTTTGAATTTCCTAATCGTAAAAAATCAATTTGCATTTAATCAACAGATGGAATTTTATTTAGCATCAATTTTTAAATATTTAGAAATAATTAGAAATAATTAGAAATAATTGGAAGTAATTACAAAATATACCAATAAAAGTAAATAAAAAAAAAAAAACCAAAGTAAAGATATTCGGGAATTCATATGAGATAATAAAAATTGGTATCAACTCACCAGTACCTGACTCTCGACCTCATTTTTTGATTATAAAATCGATATTTACGATTTTATCAAAAGACTAGATCTTTCTACTATTCGTTTGTAAATAGTTGGTTCTACACACTATCGTTAAAAAAAAAACCAGACATTTACGTTTTTTTTTTTCCTAATATGAATCACATTTTTTATATGACAATTTTTAGCGGTTCATATCGTGTAAAATATGTAAATTAAAACAGTCTTAAAATTACAGTTTTAAATCATTTTTTCTTATAACAAACAGAAAAAAAAAATTTTTATTTAAATTTTTAATAATTATTAAAAAAAAAAAATTTGCTCTTTTTTTCAATAAACGTTTTTTTCTGTGAAAAAAATTGTAGTTATAAATATTTTAAATTTGATAAACTCAAAGAAATGGTAGCCAACTAATTCATTTATTTGTTGCAAAACAAATATATTTTATTTATTTTAAATAAATTTATTTGACTTAGAGAAAAATTTATTTATGACAAAATTTTTATTTACGCCAATAAATCTAAGACAAATATAAGTTTAGTTAACTCAAATATATTTTATTTGCTTCAAATAATTCATTTCTCTGGGTGTAGGAATTCACAATAAAAAAAAAAAAGTGAAAGGGGTTGTTTCAATATATATATGTTCTACTAATCCAGTAAAATTGAGAGTCGAGGAATTTCAATTAGAGTGTGACGAGAGAATAGTGGGGGGGGGGGAGGGGGATGAGTGTATACTTATAATTTTCTATTTGAAGTTAAAGCTATTTAACCCGTTGCATGCAAACTGAACTTTGGTTTTTACAACTATTGTAAAACTTGAGAAGTGCAAAATAGAAAAATAAATCAATTTTTTATTGTAAATAGAAAAAAATATTTTTTAAATAAAAACAACATAAAAATAAATTATTTTCTATTTTAAGGAAATTTTTTTTTTAAAACAACGTAAAATTTCTATCTTAAGGAATTTTTTTTTTCTAAACAATATAAAATAAATTTTAAGGAAATTTTTTTTTTCATAACTAAACACAAAAATATAGCTTAAATATTAGTGAAAGGCGAATGGAGAATTGTTACATAAAAAATTAATACCGATTCAAGAAGCAAAGTCCAGTAAAGTACAATCGATTATTTTGTAGTTCTGTGTATTTACCAAAGGTTTCGAAAGTATATATATATTCGGGCATTTACGTCCCTCAGAAATGAATCGATTTTTATTTCATTTCATATAAATTGTTAAGAAAAAAAAACACGTATACACACACGCTTGTTGCTCATTAAAACGCTTGTAAATATTAAATAGTCCATTAATTGTAATTACGATATACAATTTTAGTATACTAATTAGATTAATAATTTCTCTGCAAACAATATCGAATATAGAATTTAATTCGATGGAAATTAAAGGAGTAAATATAATTTTTTTTTAAGTATTAATAGAAAATTTATTTGTATATAATATTTAAAAAAAAATTAATTTAATTCCAATTATTAGCAAATCTGATTATCGTAATTAAAGGTATTTTCTTGTTTTAATTTGAAAACTTAAATTTTTAATCAATTATAACTATAATTAATTATTTATTAATTATTTATTTATTATTTATTAATTATTTTTTTGTTATTTATTTATTATTTATTTATTATTAATTATTTATTAATTATTTATTATTATTTATTAGGTACTTATTATTTATTATTTATTTAACAGAAAAAAAGAACTATTAATTAATTATTGAAGATATAAACAATTTATTTAGTTTTGCAAAATTACTGCATTTGGTTAATAATAAAAATTTTAAAAAAAAAATATAAATATAATTGCTTCATTTTTTTTTACAAAGTTGATGTGATAGCGAAAACTTTCGCGTTTTTATATGAAAACTGTTTGAAAAGTATACAACAAACATGACACCAAAATGTGGAGCGATAGTAGATTGAACAATGAGAATATTTGCGTGTGTCACGTGACTCCTTCTCTAGGGATTTCTACAATACATCTCTAGCAGGAAATACGCAATTTACATTTAGTCTTCTAATTTACATTATCAAAGGATTTATTCTCTTAAAATAAATCCCCCTATTGACACTTATTTCAATTATTTTCAATTTTTTGGTTTTAATTTTTTTTTTAAATTACACTGAAAAAAAAAATTTATTTGATTCCAATAATCAGTAAAATTTCTACTTTAATATTTTTAAAATTTTAAATTTAATTTAAAATTTTTTAAAAATTTTGTTACTTTTAATCAAGTAAAATAAATATTTTACTTGCGCCAAATAAATATATACTTGAATCAAATAAAAGTTTACTTGCGCCAAATAAATATATACTTGAATCAAATAAATTTTTACTTCAACCAAATAAATATATACTTGAATCAAATAAATGTTTACTTAAACCAAATAAATATATACTTGAATCAAATAAATGTTTACTTGAGCCAAATCTATTTGAATCAAATAATTTTTATTTGAATTTAATAAACTGTATTTGAACCAATAATTTTTGTATTTTTAAATAAACACCAAGAAAAATGTTTCTTTGAATCAAACAATGTATTTCCTTGAATCAAAGAAGTATTTCTTTGAATCAAAGAATTATTTATTTGATATAGGTAAAAGCTTCTTTTTAGTTTACAAAATGCTTTTTTAATTTCAAAGTTTTTTTTTTTTAATTTACAATTTGTTCAATTTAAAAAACAAAAAATAGAAATCTAAAAATTAATCAAAAAAAGAAAAATTTAAAACTTACCTGATTGGGTCATTCAATAAAATGTGGAATCGCAGAAGAATACATAATTAAATGTAATCACTCAATGAATGTGGTTGTTTGGTCAAAATGTTCGTATCCATATTTTCACTTTAGTAACATTCAAAAGCACTGATAAGTTTGTCTATTTGAAAAAAATTTTTTTTTTAGAAAAAAATTTATTTTTAATGAAAAATAAATATAATTCAAATGAAAATTAGTTGATACAAATAAAATTATATTTTCATTAGTTAATTTAAATAAAAATTTTTTAAAAATAAATTGTTAATCATTTATTAGTAAAAAATTATTTCTGATAATTGATGAATAAAGTAAATTATTTATAAACTTATTAATAAATAATTTTTATAAATTTTTTTTAATAAACAATTAATTATTTAAATAAATTTTATTGATAAATAATTATTTATATAAATTTTATCAGTAAATAATTATTTAATTTTTAAATAATTAATTATTTATAGAAAATTTTTTTTAGTAAATAATTATTTAAATTTTTAACAATTAATTATTTATAGAAATTTCATTGATAATTATTTACAAATAGTGTATTGAATAATTATTAACGTTAAGTTAAAATTTTTATTTCTATACAAAATATAAACAAATACTTTTGATAATTATTTTATTGAAAACCAACTGTAGTTAAATTTATTTATATAAAAACTAAAAAAAAATACAATTTTTTTTTACAAATAAAACTTGTTTTTGAATAGACGAGAATTTGGAGAACACATGTTCTCCAAAGTGATATGAATGATAGATATTCTTCCGTACCTCCATTGCAAAAAAAAAATTGAAAGAAATGAAGTAAAAAAAAAAGTCAAATTCACTTCCGGTCACCCGTGATCGAGGCACATTTTTTTTTTCCAAAGGGTCTCGGTTAATACGCGATGGCAAACGTTTGCTCGCCAAAGAAGCATGTGGAGAGAAAGGCTTGTGTCGCAGGATTCAACGACTCGGTCACTCCCACCCTTAGCCCTTTTTGCCCCCCTTGCCACTTCTTGAAAGGGGGGAAGAGGGGGGGGTGGGGTGGGGTTGAAGTTATCACATAAAATGTGTGGGGTCACCGTGTAAAAAGTAACGCTCTGCCGGAACACTATGTGTGGGAGGCAAAAAATATAGAGCAACTTCCCTTCGACCGCTGACCGCGGTCAAATTAAGCGACCCCTTACGTGACAGAAGAAATTGATAACGGTGTGTATATGAACACTATGAACAGTTTATATACGTATGAAAAAGCGTGCTGCGTCGCGTGGAAAATGTAGGCCATCGGGCCTTGTCGTCACGCTTCACTTGGCACTGACGCTATATGGCTCTTCGTTTCTCATATTACTGTCTATTATATAGTAGTAGTACGCCTTTCAAAAAGAGTGATTTTAATCCATCATTTTTATTCCTTCTATTAAACGTATAATACACTTTTAGTTGATTGCTTTTTTACCATCTTCTTTTTTTTTTTTTTTTTTTCTTTTTGTTAACAGACAGCTTGAAATGTCTGTCTTGTTTGCGTTCTTGAAAAGAAACTCAATTTTGAAGTGGAAAACTTTACAAGAATCCGATAATTGTTTTTAAATGGGAAAAATTTTACAACAATATGTTTCTCTAGAATAGGGAAAACTTTCTCTATTTTAGAGAAACATATCGCTGTTCCAGTGAAACTTATCGTTGTTCCAGGTGGAGATTTTTTTCCTTGTATATCATAAAAAAAAAGAAATGTTATATTAGCACTAAAGGTGTTAAAATAAAATGCAACAAATTTTAACTCAGCAGTGTTATTTTTGACACCGAACGGTATAAATATTCATTGTATTAAAACAACACCATCTGTGGTGTTAAAATAACACTGTAAATTACAAGCAATAAAAACACTTTTTTTGTATAA